CTTGCAATCAGGGTCATCTTCAGTTAATTGGTGTACCATTTCAATTTTGTATGGATGATACCTATTCCTCTTCAAAAGTCTCCACAAAGTTTATATAAACAAAAAATAACTCAACAAACCTTATCGAGTTGTTGGAATTGTTATAAATATAGCAGATAAATAGGAATATTTCTAGAAATATCGATGTTAATGTGTTTGTCTTCAAGAAATTATTAAATGTTCCGCCATATTGTAGTAGGTGAGGATATTGACCCCATATTTTATGGTTGTGAAGTATTCGTCAGGAGCTTCAAAATGATGTGTCATAAGACCCCCCTTTCTACTTAATTTTTTTCCCAGATGGCGCCCATCCGCCATCTTGAAAGTTTCATCTGTCAATTTTTCTTCAAAATAAACTTTTCATGTGCATTAATTTCTTAATCTCAAATTTCAATTTTTCGAGTTAGGCCGTTCAAAAAATAAAAGGAGGGGAGACATTAAAGAAATGCACTGTATATGAAAAATACATTTCTGTCGTTCTTCGAATTCTTCTCAAGGATTTCGTTATTACAAAAAATGTATCAAGAAATCGACACTTACTTTAGTTTTCTACTGTTCAAACGATATATGAAAAATACATTATTTCCTGTCCAAAAAATCTGCAAATACAACTTGTATATAAATTAAACCGAGCTACATGAACTAAAGAGCGTAAATAGAATTTTCTCAGAGACAGCTGAAGCATATATCACGATTTAAGAGTGTTGTTTGTGTCTGCATAATTTCAGCTGAATGAGTACTACGACAATTTATGTGACGAAAATATAACGACACAAGTGTTCTGTACTGCGCGTCTGCAGTGAATATGAAAAGTCAAAACGTATCTATAAATCTTTCAACACAAGAAAGAAAAAGATTGTGATGATGTGGCATAATTTTTTATTTACCGTTACATAATATAAACATCATTTTAAGGTAATAAATAGTCTCACATCATCCAAGTATTGAGTTGTTTCGAAAGTTTAGCCCATCTCATATAGTAAGGGGGCATACTTAAACACTGGCTATAAATCAAACCATATAAATCTAAAGGAACCATTCGTTCAGGCCAATCTCAACTTCCACACTAATTGAACATCAATTCCGGCAGTTGTATTGCCTGTAATGACACCTGTCGGATATAATCGAACGCCCTTCGTGGTATTAGCCAGGGTAGTAGTTGTTCTCCTCTAGGTGTTAGTCAAATACAAGTAAAATTAGAACAACTGAACAAAAAATAAAATGAAAAGTGGAGAGATTCCAAGTCACGTTAGATCACGACGTTTCGATTGTTAGTATCCACTATCCTCTTCGGGTGATGACTGGACTAATTCCTCAGAGAGACGACTATTTATGGGTCGTTCGAATACTTTCACTTATCTCCGCTTTCCTTTTTTCCCGCTTCACCGGTTTAGTGGGAGATGACCGTTTGGCTTGATTATGGGTTTCCATATGTTGCGTATGTCTTGCTAGCTAGGCTGAATACATTGTTGGACAACATGTAAGCGGCTTCTTTGAATTTCCTCCTAAACTCTCATCTGATCAACAACATGGCTTCAGAAAAGCTAGATCGGTTGAAACAGCTATTGCTAGTAAATTTGAGTTCATTTACAATAACATTGATAAAGGAAAGTATGTAGTCTCAATCTTATTTGATTCAGTAACAGATGAAATTATGATCAGTGAATTGTACAACATTGGTATCAGAGGATTCTTTCTTGAATGGATTGAGTCATTCTTATCTGACAGAAAAATGGTTGTGACTCTGAATAACACTGCATCACATATTCAAGATAGTATGCTTGGTGTTCCACAAGGTTCAATGTTAGGACCGCTGCTGTTTTCAATATATATAAATGATCTCCCGAAATATATCAAACATGATTACACCGTAATGTTCGCAGATGACACTACCATGTCAGTGTCTGGTAGCACAATAGATAAGTTGGAATTCAATATAAACTCAGTCATGAACGCTATGGTTTCTTGGTGTGACAGAAACCAATTGAGACTGAATGCAAATAAAATAATTCACTTGGGTTTCTCCTTGAGAAAGACATTGAATCTTAAAAACGTCCAACTATCTGATACAGCCAAACTCCTAGGTATGTACCTTGTCTTGGGAGCCTCACATTGAACATGTGTGTAAACAATTGAACCAGGCAATATTTGCAATACGCCAGCTCAAAGAGTTGCTTGACTTAGATGGTATCAAGATGGTCTATTATTCTTTGGCCTATTCTCACATGGCTCAAAATATACTAATGTGGGGTACTTCTACTGACGCAAGACGTGTATTCATTCTACAAAAAAGAATCATGAAAATCATATTTGACATTACACCGAGATATAGCTGTAGAGCTTTATTTTCAAAATATAAAATATTAACTTTACCCTGTATCTATATTTATAAAGCTCTGCTCATGTGAGATACAACATGGTTCATTTCAATCACGAGTCAGTCACTCATAATTATGCAACACAAACTAAACACTTGACCATCCCAAAACACAAATCTTCAACATTCAAGGAATCTCTTAAGTATAACGGCATCATACTTTATAATTCATTGCCACAGGATATCAAGGACCTTCACTTAGTAAGTTTCAAAAACCATATCAAAGAATTATTGACGAACGGGGGTTATTATAGCTTAGATGAGTTCCTGCAAAGGGATGTCTTGATATAACTTGTTCTCACTGCTTTTCGTTCATATTTTTATGTTGAACCTTTTAATCGTATATAATTATATTATGTTGTTTTATAATAATTTGTCTATGATTTTAAAATTTGCATCAGTATGTCGCTTGTAGTGTTTTGTATAGTGCCTGTTTTATTTGATAGGTATATGTTTATTTATTTATATTTATATAGTTATTTATTGTTATTTTTATTATTGACATGTCATAATGATCTGAAAAAAATACAACAAAAGTTCATTTCTTTAGATGTATTTACAATTATACAGGGTGTAACTGAATAAGTGTGAAACATTTAAGGAGGTGAGACTTATTTAGTTACACCCTGTATAAAAAAATAATAAACAAGTTTTAACGAGACTAATGTTAGGGTGAAACTATCATTATTGAATTTCTACAAAATAAAGTGGTCATCAATGGAACAAGTTATTATATTTGCAACTTTGAATTCTTTTCGGATTTGTTCTCTAAGATGCTTTTTCATACTAATTATAGAAAGTTCACATCTTTGGTCTTATTTCTCGCAGTACATCTTTACAAAAACCATTTTGAATATATGGAACCAATTAGAGGGTCGGTAGTCTCTTTTATAAAAATATATTTCATGTTTGGCCAATAATTGTGGCTTTCTTCAATTGAGAGAGTTTTTAAAACAGAATAGTTCATCACACTCTACAAAAATTGATATATTGTTTTCACCCAAACAAAAATATTAAAATGATTCTGGCATTTGAATACATAGAAAATACACCATTCCAACAAGAAAACATTATATAGATATTACTTCCTGAATTTTTTCCCAACCGTAAAATTAATTGAATTATATCTATTGACCAAATCCCGAAAAGTTAGAATGGTAAAATGAAAACAAAAAAACTGACAAATGAAAAGAGAAATAGTCCTGTATTTGTTAATTTTATCTAAAAATAATTTGCTATTTCGATCTCTGAACTTATTTTCAGAATACAGTTTATTCCCTGCAATTAAACACAAGCAGAGTCCTTTTTGAATATTTGATTACATTCGGAAGAATGCAATCATAGAAGCGCGGTATAGTCTTCAAAATAACGTTTATTACCATCCCGTTTATATAAGAAACGGGATGGTAATATCGCAGAAATACGAAAGCCTAAAAGTTCAACGAGTTGATTCTGCTGACCTCATGATTTTCAGTTAATGAATTGTCATCAACTTGTAGTTTATCAACACTGTAATTGGACGCTATTATCCCGTTTGCATTCTTGTTCATTGAACAATTTTTGCCTCATTTTGCGTTTTTAAATTTATTGTTGAAGATTAAGGATTCCTTTGCCTAACTGGAATAAATGGTATAGATTTATGACCTGATCAGTAACTCCTTTTTGGAAAAAAATAGTACTATAACCATTCGATTGTGAAGACTCGATAAATGATGCACCTCCGTAAAAGTTTCCCTGTAGTCGCTTCATGAACATTTGCCACTGAACCAGATAATTTGGAGGAAAAGACTACATGTTAGTTCAGATAATAGTGTAAGAGCAGGTTCCTCTTGGCTAAATCTAAAACCTCACACTGATCTGAAGTCAGATTCGCCTTCAACTATCGGTCTAGTACTTTCTTACGAATAATGCATTAATTCCGCAAACAGTTCTTTCATCACAGGCATTTTGAGAGGAACTCCGCGAGAGATATATTTTAAATAATATTTCCTTGAGTTTTGCAGCACCATCTTGCGGTGAATATAAAATACCTACCTCTAATGCAGTTAGATATTTAAAAAATTATATTAGAAAATATTCCGTTCGATATCAAATTGTACAAATATCATCTAATATCTGACATATTTTGTTTTGACTTCAGTTAAATGAAATTGAAAATTTTGAAATGTTGTATCTTCGAAAAGTTGATGAGTATTTTAATCATGAAGTAACAGAAATGTTCTAGATCAAATACGACTTTACTGATAAATAGGCCATTTTTGAAAAAGATACGTTGGTGTTTATACAGTTGGTGGTGTTGATCTCTATGAAGTTCTCTAACCTCTATTTTCAATCTGTCAAAAGTAAAACTACCTCAAGAAAGGTTTCAAAAACATTAACATCGATTTTGTTAAAATCTCCGAATCAAAGATAAACATAATAATGGCATAATTTTCTTGAATTTCGTAAAAGTTTCATTTGAGTTATTGTAAGTTAGTCATTTATTTCCTGTTTTATAAAAAAGGTACTACAACATATTTAGATTCTACTGTAATTGAGAGGTTTGTCACGAAAATTTTTGGGAGTTTTAGAATAAACAAAGCTGTAGCTATAGAAGTAAGAAGTGTATTTCCAAAACTGTTTCCGATTCAATGTATGAAGTTTATGAAGTAAACTGTATTTGAATATTATATTTGTGAAGTAAATACTAGTTAAAGTCCTCCAAAACCATTTTTTAATATTTATCTTATGTACTAGGCTATTTTATAGGACTGTTATAATCGTTGACTTATTTACTAGTTGAGGTCAAAATTGAAAATAAAATCTTCAATATTCAGCCAATGGTATATCCACACTTAGAACATTTCTTGCTTCTCATGCAAAGGCAACAGAGGATTCCAATGGGGAAGAAACAAATAGCCAGACACCAAGCGCAGCACGAGTAATCTCCAGTCCAGCTGTTATTGTGACAAATTGGACACCCTCCTAAAGCCCCACCTCCTCCTGTTACGATAACATCTGGAAAATAAGACGGAAAACTATAATAATGATGATAATAACAATGTACACAGCCATTCAATCGCTTTCCGAATCGGAAGGACGGCATCCCGACCTGGCGCTTCGAAAGATTGAACGGCGTGTACACAAGATGGATGTTAATATCAAGTTGGCGAGACAACACGCATCTCGTGCCCAATGTGTCATGGATTACAGGGTGGCGAACAGATATTTAACACCTGCAATGCGGCGAATAGCTGCCAAATTAAGATATATATTCTACACTAGGATATGAAAGACTGTAGCCGTTAAAAAATTACTAGCGAGGCGAGCGAGAAGCACTGCGGAAAACCTTCTCGCTTGTGGTTAATCCGCCGACAGATGAACAGGTGGAAGCCTTTTGGAAGGACATTTATGAACACCCGCAGCCACCCAACGCAGACAGTCCAGCCCTAGTGCAGTTTGAAGCTTTTAGCAGAAAGCTTCGACAGCCTGAGCTCAACGAACTGCACAACACAATAACCCCGGATGACTTTTGAAGAGCCCTTGTGAATTCCAAGAACTTTGCAGCTTCAGGCCTAGATGGACTGAACAATTATTGGTGGAAAAAACTATCAAACAATCATTCCTGATTAGTTTGTCGAGGGATGAACTGTTCTTATCCCCAAAAACAAATATTTGTCTATACCAGTGGTTCTCAAACTTTTTTAAAGACGGAACCCTTCTGGGAAGCAAAATACTTGATGGAACCCTACAATAAAACAATTGTTTTTATGAGTGTATTCTTTATTAATCAGCATAATAAAAGTACACTGTAACAGTTACTAATTATTATTTACTTCACCACTTGCCAAGGACAATAATAGAAAACATTAAAAAAGAAAAAATCTAACTAGTGGGAGGTATGAAACTGTTTTTTATTTTTCATCAATTGGTTGATATCAGGTTTGATGGAAGAAAGTTGGAGTCTCATATCAGCTTCGGCGTCCAGTCTATTGCGATATTTTGTTTTCGTGGCTGCGTAGGTAGAGAATCNTGGAGTGTTCAGCTCCCGGATAGGCGAATATCACAGATTTTATCCAGACCACTTTGTTAAGATGGTTGTCCTGATTATTGGAGTTCTTGGTGGACAGATGCCCTCTTTACTCTCTAATCTTAAGACCATGCCGGTTTGCGGAGGCTGAAATTTTAGCCGGACAAATGCAGAAGACTCTTATTCTTGGCTCAGGGCGTCTGCTTAGGGCACATGATTCTTGGTAATTTGCATTATTGCTTCACAATATTGTATGTTCAGTTATCACAATGATATTTCTGTTTCTTGTTCTCGAATTTAATCAATTAGAGAAAACCATAATTCAATTGAAGGGATAGTAGGTAGCATAGTTTCATATCTAGTTGAGTTATTGATGAATCTCTGTCAGTATATATTTGTTGTTATTGAATTACCTATCAAACGTGGTATCACAATACCGTCCTTTCTATGTGGACCAAGAAATGGTAATAGTGTTGCCCCACTCTTGGCATTATCTTTTATATTGAACAGTACTGAAAATGATGCCTTTTTACCATGCAATAATGATATCTTGTCCAGTTTAGACGTTAAGAGATTGGAAACTATCCACGTTAAGGCTGTATGTCTATCACTTTCAACTGATTTCCCTTTTTAACGTGATAAATTGTGCAAAATTGACATAAGAATGCTATTGAGTATAAAAGAACATACCTATGTATTTAATATACGATGTAGGTGGTTAGAAACTGTTGCATGATGCATTGTATTTCAGTTTTCTTTTGTTCATTAGTATATACAATTTCCTTTCGAAATTCACTTTTTTTATGGTGCTCATCTTCAATGACAACTGAAAAGTCATAGTGCAAAATACACATCTGTTTTGATACACTGCTGAATTCAATTTTGATACATTCACATCTTTGCAAGAAGACATGAAAAGAGAATTGAAAATAACCAACTAGCAAATACATGCAGGCATTCAGAAAAAAAGTAATATAATGTCAGTAGAAACATAACTTTTGGGAATTTTTTGCGAGATACTTACTGGTAGTGGTTTGAGGAGCAGGAGGTGCCATTATAATCGTTGGATTAGGAGGCGGATTATCTGAAAAAGAACACATCTCTATTACAAACGGTACAGTAACCGGTTGGGTTGGCGTGATTGATTTATTCCATTATTTCAGTAGACCGCTAGAAGAAACGATGGTTCGAGCCCACGGACGATCGATTTTCAGCGGCATGCTAGAAACCGTACGTTAAAAGGTAACGCCTCTTTATTTTCCAGCTGGCACATGATTTCAAAAATGTTTTGAATATCCTCAATTTTTATGAAAAATTATTCTCGTTTGGTCACATGTAGTAATAACAATAGGTAGCAAAGTGACACATTATAGCTTTTATAAATGAGGGTGTTGATAAATTGGGCAGTAGTACTTGTTCAGAAAATATTGAAAAAAAAAACATTTGTTTATATCTAATATCTACTAGAGTCATACTCTTTATAAATGTATTTTTCCGCATCAGCGCCGTGCAGCCAAATGCTGATGTGGTCAATACCAAAAACACATATTCGTGTTTTACCTTTCTTCGGTAATATCTGAGAATATATCCCAACAACAAACCGTTATTTTTACGTGTTTCACATGTTTCAATCACCAAGTGATCATCTTCAGAAGGAAAATTAAAGTAAGTCTACATTATTTAGATTCTACTGTAATTGAGAGGTTTGTCACGAAAATTTTTGGGAGTTTTAGAATAAACAAAGCTGTAGCTATAGAAGTAAGAAGTGTATTTCCAAAACTGTTTCCGATTCAATGTATGAAGTTTATGAAGTAAACTGTATTTGAATATTATATTTGTGAAGTAAATACTAGTTAAAGTCCTCCAAAACCATTTTTTAATATTTATCTTATGTACTAGGCTATTTTATAGGACTGTTATAATCGTTGACTTATTTACTGAAAATAAAATCTTCAATATTCAGCCAATGGTATATCCACACTTAGAACATTTCTTGCTTCTCATGCAAAGGCAACAGAGAATTCCAATGGGGAAGAAACAAATAGCCAGACACCAAGCGCAGCACGAGTAATCTCCAGTCCAGCTGTTATTGTGACAAATTGGACACCCTCCTAAAGCCCCACCTCCTCCTGTTACGATAACATCTGGAAAATAAGACGGAAAACTATAATAATGATGATAATAACAATGTACACAGCCATTCAATCGCTTTCCGAATCGGAAGGACGGCATCCCGACCTGGCGCTTCGAAAGATTGAACGGCGTGTACACAAGATGGATGCTAATATCAAGTTGGCGAGACAACACGCATCTCGTGCCCAATGTGTCATGGATTACAGGGTGGCGAACAGATATTTAACGCCTGCAATGCGGCGAATAGCTGCCAAATTAAGATANCCACCATCGTTATTCATAATATTATTACATAATATTATGACATATGTTTGAGACGACCGTACAAACATAAAAAAATAATAAAATCTCTAATCGAATGTTCATAGCCAGCGAAATTTGAACTTTGATACAAGTGCATTGAAGTTTATCTTTATTTGATAAAGAAAAAATTGTTATACTCACGATACATTGGATTAAATGGAGGCTGTTGAGGTGCTGAATTATATGCTGAAAATGAGTTGGATTAATTGTATTAGATATTTTGAGAAGTTCATAGATGTCAAAGGTATCGACTTTGAACTTACGTGGATTACCATATCCGGGATTACTGTATTCGTGGCCCTCATAGGGAGGAGGTTTAGTCTCCATTTCTCAATTCGAATTCTGTAATTAAAAAACGTAGAATCAATTTGAAAAAATCACTTTTAAAATCTAATCATCATACATATTTCACAATCAAGGTTCCAAGAGTTCAATAGTGTATTCAAATCAATCATTGAACTGGACTTATCATCTTCGCTTCGTAACGTTCAGTTCACATTTTATATCCAGAGAGTTGCATTTACTGAATGAACAGATTATAGATATCAGTTGAAGAGAACTACCTAGACCAGGGGTCTTCAAACTTTGAAGCCTTCGGGCCATAATGATTTTTTCAGTTTGTTCCAAGGGCCAATTTCTGCCCTTGACTATTATATTTCTAGACTAGGATAGTCGCAAAGTGCGTGACCTAAGCAAACTTACGCTTTTTTGCATTTCAATTGTGTTGCATTTCAATTGTGTATTGTGGCACTTAACGACATCTAGTGGCGAGTAGTGGCACTATGTACTATCTTTTTCAGCTACCCGCTAGGTGGCATTAGGCGTAATTAAATATTTGGAATTACCGCGTTGGTTCGAGAAAGTTCTGGTTCTAGCTAGTGTATTCCGATCACCTCGAGATGGCAGTAATAATTGCATATAAAAAGGCTAGCGGCGCAACTGCGAGTTAGTCTGCGTAGGAAAGGCGAAGGAAGCGAAAC